AACAAAAAAATCGCAATATACTCCAAGAACAATATACTTTTGCCTCTTCCTTCTTTCATTTTTCTCTTTTTGGTTTTTAGAAGAATAATCATGTAAGGTCTGTACCTTTCCTCAATAATAAATCACAATTTTGGCGAAGTCAAAAGAACCACTTTGATTGTGTAGAATGAAGTGGAACGACGAATGAACGGATAACTTCTGACGTCATAACGGGTAACTTCGGACGTCATCCTGTCATCCATCTACGGATGTATGTCGTCCTCCTTCTCCTTCAACATTGTTTGGGTCAGGTGTAACAGAGCACAGTTATTATCCTTCTCTCTGTCTTTCTTTCTCTCTCTCTCTGTGTATGCGTCATCTAAAAATGTCAATAATTTAGTTCAAAAATATTCATTGCTCCTCATGGAGCAAATTAGGAACGACCTTTTGGCCCTCTTTTTATTGTCATTTGTAATATAGCCTGAATTGCTTTATGCCACAGATCAACTGAATGGATTATCTGTCGGAAGTCACTCACCAACCTGCACAAAACTATCCTCGCGATCGATCGAACTTCACTTTTACTCATATAATTCGAGATATTGTGCTGCTATAGTGTTCATTACATTCTCTCCACGTCTGTCTCCTTCCTTTCACGTCTTTGTCATTTCGAACGTTATTCCGAGAACAATCGAAGTTCACTCGTTCTATATCGTATAGGTATGTGTGTTGTGCACGTGTAGGCTCGTCTGTTAATGTCATAAATGTTGGTATGTCTGTGAGGGTAAGAAACTTTCCAATGCACTTTCTCCACATTACAGCTTTGAATAATTGTCTTCAAAATGTTATCATTTGTTGAATGCATCTCATTTCTGATAAATGATAAGGTGGTGCAATCTGTCCAACTTTTATCAAAGTAGTTTCCATCTGTGAAAAGAAATATTCGTTGAGAATATTCGATAGGTAAAATGAGGAGGGAATCAACGTAACGTCATTTATTAGTTTTTGATGGTATTTATTGAATGAATGCTTAACATTTCCAGGCGTGCAGTTGTCTTACACGCTGAAAAACGACTAAAAAAAGCTATGATTTATATTTCATAGCTGAACATATCGTTCCTCTAACATTTTGCTTTTTTTTTGCTTCGTTATGGCGGAGGATGGTATAACATATTTTCTTCCATCATTCAACATTTGTATTTTATTCATTTTTGTCACAATTTCAATTTAAAGTAAAGTTTGTTGAGAGGAAGTTCTTGCACGGCTGCGCATATAATCATTCTTGAAACCAAATGAAAGAAGCCATAGTATGAAACTTTACGATTATAATTAACTTTCAATACAAGGCTTTTGAAAACTGCAGATAGAGGTTGAAAAGCTCAGATTTCGGGGTTCCTAGACTTAGCATCAGAAGTGTGCTGCTGCTTAGTTTTCTGAGAATTTCGTCCAGTATTTTGGTCTTCTTGCTGAATTTAAAGTTTAGATTTTGCTCACCGACTCAAGCCTACAGGCTGGAAGAATGTCAAAATTTTTAATGTGAATTTTGTCAAGGACGCCATAAATAAATGAATGCGTTGCCATTTTTTATTTGATTTGTTTGATCTCTTAAATTTGAACTACTTTGACAGAAAGTGGTTGCATATTTATGCCATATGTCCGATTCTTCACTTCCTCCTTCTATCAGTCGTCTAATATTCTTCAATTATTCTGTTCAGTATATCGCTTTTGGTTGATTACTTTTATGACATCCAAAAAACATAACTCTACTTGCTTTACCTTTGTTCCTACGATTACTTTGGATTGTTATTTGGAAAGAGAAATTTATCTTCGAAAATTACGATGTGTGAAAAGAATAAATATTGCTGAATTCCTTTCTTATTTCTGTATTTCATCAAAGTAAGGGTATTTTTAGTTCATTATTCTTCTAGCTAGATTTTTTTTAATCAATTAACAGTTTATAAAAAGTCTTTTGGATCTCGTCATCTGATTGATTATCTTAATTTGAATAAATGTGATGGCTGTTTTTTTTTTTGTTGAACTAAATAAAATATTTAAGAAATACATTACAAGAATAAAAGGTAAATGGCGGAAAAAGAGTGGAAGGCATCATCGGAATATGCAAACATATGTTAGGAGCAATAACTGTTATAGAATTTTCTATGTTTTTTTCGTTTGACTTCGAACTAATTTCAGTTGCATTTTGATAATGCACATGCACCAATTTGTTACATTGTTAGGACATTTGTACTTACGAAATTCCAAGTTTTTTTATAAGAATTGATGAGACAGGCTATCAGGTTGTTCATGAAACAGTGAACGTATTTGTTTTTAATCAAAGATGGCAGAATTATTTTGAGTACCAAAATCTTTTGCTTGATATGAAAGTAATTGTAAGAATGAATTCTGGGATTTGCTAGTACTGATCAAATGGTTTGTGAAGGAGATCGATTCAAGCCCTATTCTTCCAAGCTCATTAAGTTTCTTAATAGCAAATTGATCTTGAAGTTTATTTTAACGGATTTAGATTTTATTTATAGATTTTTGTGTATTTTCATTCGAAAAATTTTTTAAAGGGTTTCGTGAAGGAGTAAAGGAAAAATGAAGAAAATTTCGGGGTTCGTAAATAATGCCAAACAATACATGTGCAATTCTTTTATTGAAATATTTAAAAAATCGTTTTCGTTGACGCAAATTATTCAATGTTAGTTTAGTTATATAAATCGCCAGCGAAATAATTTCTATGTATAAAATTCTTTAATCTCTTGACTTTTGTATATTTGTACTATAGCATTGTTTTGTTTGATTTTTGTTTGTTTTTTTGAGCTATTTTAGCGAATTATTTCTTCAAAAGCAACTATAATTATGTATGTTTCCTGCTACTTCATATTCTTATTTTAGCTCACGACAGCTGTCCTAAAGTTATAAATTTTGCATTTTACATCACTGATTAAAACATGTTTTGCTTTTTGGGTTTTTCAAAAATATTTTTATATGTTTGGGGAAATTACAGCTGAAGTCTAAAAGACACAGTTTTGAAAGCTTGTTTTAGATTTCTTTCTTTTTTAATAGTTATCAATCATGTAAAAAACTTTCATGAAGTTCTCTCCGTTAAAAAACTGCTTACTTTATGATGGCAATAGCTTGCAGTTTAATCTACTGAACAAAAGTAGCGAAATCAGTAACATTTCTTTATAATTGAAAACCGGTTAATTTATATTAATGAAATGATATCGAGTATTGAATAATCAGTTCTTCGGAATATCACTGATATCGTTTTAGTCTCTTTATTTTCAGGATCTCTAAAAAGGTAACATCCTATAAGTAGATGCAAACGTGGCAGCATTTCTTGTTTTATTTTTTAATTCATCATTTTTGATTCATCTATAATAACAACGATTAGAATAAAGTGTGTTGAAAGATACTGATAGATATGTTTTTAAATATTGATGACAATAGTAATTGTGTTAATAATGATAACAATAATAATATGATAATAAAAACTGCAATTTTTGCATAGTCAATAAAAAGTTTTAAATTTGTATCTTTGTTAGTAAAAAAAGAAAAGTTGCCTCGGAAAATTTTTGTTATCCTTTCTGTATCATTTAATGTTAACAATACGCTATAACTATACTAGAAATTTTTGGCTTATTTTGTCAAAAATAATTTTTTTAGAGTGCAGATAATTGTTTTCAAATTTAGTTTTTAACAAAATTATTAACAAAAAAGGATAAATGATTGATATTAGTATAGTCGTAATAGTTTGGAGTGACGCGATGTTAAAATTAGATTCATAAAGCATAGGATAGAATCGGACAGGCTGCCCGGAAGGAGGTTAGAAGTTTTGCACTCGGAGGGGAAAGATACATCCATATGAGTTGTAAGACAGTGAGAAGCGTGAAAGGATGGATGCCTCCTACTCGAACAGTGAATATTGGTGGAGTTTATGGTGTGGTGGTGATAGTGCTATAGCATTTTGTTGCTGAATGAATTGATTTTTTTTTTTACTTTTTTCATTTCTCAGTTTTGCTCTTTACGAACTCTTCAAATTAATGTTGTTTTCTTGATACGATGATTAATTGTTGATTTGTTGTATTCTATTGTAATATTTATTATTATTTCAATATTTGTTTCTTTTGCTAATTTTTTTGAAATTTGTTGATCAGAAGAAGCGATATAATGCATTTTTTTCGGCTCAACTTTTGATTGCGATACAGTTTCAGTTTGTTCCACATTAAGGGCAATCTTCTGGTAGCTGTTGGAGGTGATATCCATTAATGTTTCGCAGTGTGTAATACTGTTTCATGTACTATTTTATTATTTTCAAAGCATATTTTGAAATACTGTTTATTATGATGTGTTCACTGCAGTTTTAACAAATTATCACAGAGGTGCTTCGATTTAATTAAAATGCAAATTCATTTCCTAAAATTAGTGTATATGCGATTATAGCAATGATAATAATGATAAGGTAGTATTGATAACACAAGTTTTATCAATTTTTTTCAGCTCTACTCTTTCTTTATAGGATTTCTCACTAGATGTTATTATCATTCATTTGATAATTTTGTTTGTTTAGATCTTCAGGCATTAAAATTTTTTGTGGGAATTGCATGAAAAATTTCCTTCCATCTTCTTTCTTTGCTTTTTTTACCTTCATGTATACTTCAGCAGCAAATAATCGTTTCTTTCTTTTCTATTTTGTCTCCTTTACTGCTCAATATTTTCCTATTATTCTTGTTTTCATTTTAAAATCAGATTATCATCAGTACCATTGCTGATGACACTTTTGGTATTGTTGTTTTGGTATTGCTATATTACTGTTGTATTTACCGACTTTCTTTGTCGAACCATTTCATCTTCCAAAATTTACCACAGTTCATTTATTCCTCTATGTACGAAGTATAAAAACTGTTGAATTCTTAACAGTTTTGACGTGATTCTACCGTCTTTTCTATATTTCGATAAGTGACATCTGTTTGTCACTCGTTAGATTTCAACGATCCACTAAGTAACTCATAATAATGTCACCAAGGTTGCTACCAGTTGCTTGCTGTACTGGATGTGAAGAGAAGCACCGGAAAGCCAACAAGAGCTACACGGTGAAAAAGATGCTAGCGAATGATGCTGCCGTGATACCAACATCATTTATAGGCCGTATCAGTGCTCGTACCAGCCTTATTTCAACCAGAGATTACAAAACTACGGTGCAACTATTAGATGATAACGAAACGATCTGTCAAGAATTCAAGGTGATTACTCTTTTCTCTTAAATATTTTGACAGCAGTACTTCTACTTGGTCTAAATTAAACAACAACAAACCTATTTTGGCGTTGAGGTGCTTTAAGCAGTTACAGAAATCGTTTTTGCAAAGTAGTAATATTGTACCGCTCTATTTTAAATTTTAGTGTCAGCCATAGACTCCACATGTGTAGCCTCATTTCACTAACACTTTCAAGCAGTCATGGTGGTGATTTGTTGCGTGGAGCATGCCCCCTTGTAGGTATCTATATTGTCAGCTTTTTAGGTCTCTATACATTATAAGAAAGGAATTGGTTTATATGTAAATTAAATCAGATGATGGCTTGTAGAACAAACTGTTCTAAATTAAAAGCATGCCAATAATTGTTATCAATTTTTTTCATCCATCGTTTTAATAAAAACTCCTTAAAAATTCGGCAGTTAAGTTAAATAATAAATTGAATTAATCAATCTGCTGAAGTTATCGGTGTAATGATCCATTAAATTATGACTAGAAAATATAAATGTTTAATTTCAGAAGACATCGAACGCCCAGTTTATATTAGATTACGTGTGCGAATGTTTGAATATTGTCGAAAAGGACTACTTTGGACTACGATATCAGGACCTTAGTAGACACAGGGTATGACAACTTATGGTGTGATAGTTTTTTTTTTGTTTAGACATATTGTAAAGTAATTACTCTTCATGGAATGCATATCTATACACTGACTAAACTTCTAAAGCATTTATTTTTCGGTGAATTTTCTGCTTTAAAATGGTGGAATTTTTTTTTGAATCTTTTATTTCTAATTAATGCTTCATGCATTTTTTTATTATACAGTATAATGATTAATTTCAGTACTGGATGGATCTCAACAAACAAATATGTAAACAAGTACGAGGTAACCGGTTTTGTTCGTGTTGACTGTTATATTTGTTTATTGCTTAAAAGGAGACAGTGAAAAGGCAGCGAAATAAATCATTATGGGGCGGAATGCATTTGAAAATTTCATAAAATCTAATGTAAAAACTTTCGAGGTCCTAATATATCTTTGCGGTTTCGCGTGAGGTTCTATCCATCGGATGTGAGTATATTAAAAGAAGAAATAACTCGGTAAGTTCCTAAATTGTCCTTTTATAGATACATTTGCAGTGAGAGTTGTTTTTAGTTTCTCAGGTTTTCTCATTATTTGGGTTGTTTTTTATGGTTCTAAAATATGAACAGCTTTTTTGTTTATATTTATCTGTCTTATTCACATGTTGCAAATAGTTTTTCCAAAAGAAAAAACATTTCTCAAATTCCTTCCATAATTCGCTCACTTTTTCAAACAATTATTAAATAAGTATTGCTCTACTTTTTTGAATTTTCTTGCTTCGATTTTACCTATGCTTTTAATGTTCTTCCAGTTCCTGAGTTGGCAGTATTTGATCAATTAGTCCGAAATGAATTTAAATTAATTTATTTGTGCATCTTGTAGTAATAAATATTTTCTTTAAAGATATATGTTATTTGTGCAGTTGCAAAGAGACCTCCTTCATGGACGTTTGTACTGTCCCCAGAATGAAGCAGCTGTACTGGGTGCGCTGGCTCTGCAATGTTTGTTGGTTTATTTTTTTGATTCAAAATTTTGTTTATTTCCTCAATAAGATATACGGTTTTAGGCATTACTTATTTAACAACTTAAATGGATCTCCATTTTTCTTTCCTATCAGTTTTAATTTTTGTAAATTTTAGCCATAATCGGTGATTATGATGCAGAAGAGAGACCGGAAAATTACGTTGCTGAATACAAGTTACTTTTAAAGCAAACCGAAAAACTTGAAGAAAAGATTGCTGAATCTCACAAATTGTTCAAGTCGGTTTTTTATTTGTTACACTTTGCAGTAAGTGTGAGTAATTCTGCTTTTTTTTCTCGACCGTTTTGAGCTTTTTCTAAATCATGACGAGAAATTGTAATTGTTTAGTTGAGTGTTGCATAGCGAATCACGATTTATTGCTAATTCTTTTTTGTGTTTTTTGATCATTTTCCTTATGCAGAGGGCTTACTCCGGCAGAAGCGGAAATGGAATTTTTGAAGCGAGCATCCAAACTAGACACTTACGGATTTGATCCATATACCGTCATGGTAAATATTTCAACGGAATTATCATCTTTCTTTAATTGCTTGATCTATATTGTAGTTTCTGATTTTTTTAATTTGCTTCCATTTTTTACGTGAATGATTGTTTTCTGTTAGACATCAGACTCTTTTAAGAATAAGCAAAAACAAACAATGTACATCGGAGTTACATATCGCGGTATCTATATTTACCATATCAGTCGAATGATCCACCACATCACATGGTTTGTTTTATCTTGATAAGAAACTGGCGTTTAAAAATCATGCCGTCTATTTGATCACATCGCATGAATAACATGATTGTAGAAAATTTAGGAAGGAAAATGAGGTAACTTCTAATTTGCGTTCTGATATTTCTTTGAATTAATTTAATTGTTAAAATGGGATATAATTTTATTGTGATCTAGTGTTTTGTTCATGTTTTCTAAGAAGTCATAACCAAAACTGTTTGTTATTAAGTTGAAATGAAATTTTTATTTCTTTTGGAAATCAAAAAATGATAAATATTTGCAATTTCTGCAACGCAGTAAGGTGGAAGTATCACTTCATATACATGTTTTCTAACTGCATTTGCAAGCATCTAATAAAGTTTGTGGATAATTATCTACCACTATTTCTAGGAATGAACTAGATAAAGTAGATTATATCGGGAAAGAGATTATGATAACACCGGTGTCATCTTACATATCGCCTTACTTATCGTTTTCTGAGGATGCTGAAGTACGTTCCGTAAAAATTTTCCTAAACAGGTGAAGGCTTTTTCTCAACAAATTATTTCAGTTTCTAAGAGATACGAGGTAAGTATGCAAAAAAATCCATAAAAGAAATGAGCAGAGATGAAGATGAATATAATTCCACTAAATTTTACGAAAATTCGACGTTGTTTAGCAATTCATCTCACTGTTTTCAGCATACAACAAATGCGTTCAAATCCACTTCCAGTATAAGAAATGTACGTCATTAGTTTGGAATCTTGGGTCTGCCTTTAATCGAAGTAGTTTATCGTTTGATGAAGTATGAAATGACTCTCTAATATATGGATTTAATATTTGGAATTTGAATTTTCTTATTGTTTAGCTTTTTTTTGCATATTTTATAGCTTGTAGTAATGTTATTGCTTCATATACTTCATTAGGAATCTTTTTTTTTAATTTTCAGGGATTTATTAAGCCCCATAAACCGACATGTGTGCTGAAATTCCACTGTCCATCAGCAATGTTTGCGAAACATCTTTGGCGTCATATTTTGTCACAACAAGCTTTTTTTACTGAAAATGAAGCCAAGCATATTAAACCAAAGTTTTCGAAGTTAGTTTTGAACTTTTCTGCAAGGTTTGGGATTGGTGCGAGCCAGACATTTCTTCGTGGACATTTAGCGGTTATTTAAGAAAATGATAGATAAATAAATTGAAATGTTGATTACAGGCCGCGCATACCCTTGCTAACTCGTGGTTCAACATTTCGTTTTCCAACGTCAAGAGTCCTGCACGAAATTGAAGTAGAAGGGCCTGGCAAACGCGATGGACCTCAACCAATATTTACCAGATATCCGCTGCTCCGCCAAGTACCGCGACAACATTTCTGCGATATCAATAATAAATATAACTCACTTCCAGTTGTTCGCAATGAAGGGAAAATCTCTGAAGGTAAACTGCATTTGAAACTCATACTCCATGACTGAGATCAAGAACCATCAGACGAGTTTGTTACGAACAATGCATTACTTGTGTTGGAGTCTATATAATAGTTGCTTTGCTAATAATATATGGATTTTAAGATTAGCAGCGCTATTCTGATGTTTTAAGTTGTTCTTCAAATTTTTAAATCAGACGACGATTGGGAACGCCACGCTTTCTAATTGCTCCAATCCTTATCAGTTATGTACAATTTTAATAGAAGTACAGAAATATAAAGTTTTTTGGGAGTAATGTTATATTTAGAGTTTCCAGTGATACCGGAAAATGTGGAGGAAGAAAAGGCAATAAGATCACCCTCAAACAGTGCTATGATGAGTGCAGTGGATTTATTACCAACAGCCGAAACTTCAGCCGCTGCCGTTTCTGGTTCCGAAAATACGGTAAACTAAGTTTTGATAATTATTCACCCTTATTCCAGTCATTGTATATCACATAGTTGCCGTGCTTTCACCATTTCATTTGTCATTATTCTTGAAATTTTCTTTAATTTTTTTTGATTTTTTGCTTATTTTGAAACTAACAGTTTATGTTTCTCTTAAGAGCTTCAGAATACAGCTTTGTGTACTGTGAGTTCAGTTCTTTTTTATACGCTTTTTAAATTTTTTTTATAGATTTGGAATCTCATGTGAGAATTAATAGGAAAAGGAAAAGCTTCTTCAATATTTCTGATGGAAAAAGATAGAGGATTTATACTTATGAAGTTTCATGATAGATTGAAGGTGGACCGTCAATTTGAGTATTTTATTTAAAGAGAAATAATACTGTAACAGTTTCCTTGGGGTAGGATGAAAGCGTCAGTTAAATTAGGTGTTAGAAAAAAATCGTATATTACTTCTCGCAATGATTTGAAGATTGCAGCGGTTCGACTCTTGATTGTGTGGACGAAGATGAAAATAACAAGTAAAAATAGCAATTAATATATCTAAAGTTTGGGTTACAAAAAAATTGCATTTGGAAGTTTTCCTCATAAACTTGAATTTTGGTTGTTCCATTTCAGACAATATTTACTATACATCTTGTGCGGAAAGAACCATTATCTTCACAGACGGTATGATAAAATCAATACTCACATGATATTGTCTTATATGTCCTAGAGAATGCTTCTCTTGCTATTCAGCTTTGTGCATTAATTAAGTCCATGTTTGTGTGGCTTAACTTATCTTTGTTTTGTGAATTGGATTAATCGTTTTCGACTATACGTTGTATTCATGCTCATATGCACGCGAGTGTGCATGATGAACTGTTATCATATGGAAGGTCTTTTTCATCGTTTTGAGATGAAATCAAAGGAAGCCTTAAAAATTTCTGAAGAAAGTATGAGGCAGGTGGTGTAGTGATTTTTGTTTTCATGGTATTGAAATTTTTAGTTTTATCTTTTGCCAAAAATGTCTTAATTTTTGATCTCAGCTTAAGAGTTGCTTATTTTTCTTCATGCATTCTACAAAAATAGTTGTGTGAAGTTTTCAAAAAATGATAGGCAAATTACTAATGCATTATCGTTATTTTAAGTTCTTTTCTTTCCCAAGTTATATATAACCATTAATTCAGTTCAGTTCGTTACAAATTTTTATTGTGCTGGAAGAACACAATAATTACTTTACTTTTTCAATGAGGCAGTTTCAAAAAAATATTTGCAAGTTTTTGAGTAAGGGAATTATTATTTAAATTTTTTAAAAAAAAGTGTTTTTGGGATAAAAGACGCTAGAAGTATTTCGAGTAGATTCCTTATACTTCCAATTGTTATTGTGATATGATGCGTATTTGTTGAAAAAATTAAAAATAACTTGAATTTTTGATGAATTTTCTAATTGAAATATACAATCATTCTCAAACACACAAATGCTTAGCAGCTTTCAGTGATTTGTTGATGATTAAAACCATTATTCAAATTATGGTAATTTGCAGTTTGGAACCTCTGATTCTGGAGTGCAGTCGCCAGGTAAAGGCTCCTTTGAACAGATGTTAGATGCGGTGAAGCCATTATGTGCCAGTACCCCTACTGAAAATCCTAGTCCTGATCCCTGTACAATTTTTACAACGACAACGATGACGAAAATAGATAATGTTGGATGCGGCATTAATAGACATAAAAGTCTCGAAAAAGTACATGATGATAATATCCCTGCCACCAGCTCCCAACTTTTAAATGAACTGAGACCTATCTCAAAGCGTCCTACCACTTCGGTTACTGCATATGTCGCCAAAATATTCTTCTCATTATTGTTGTTTTGGCTTCTATTAACTGCCGTCGCTATCTCTCTATTTGAGGTATGTTGTTATTTTATTATATATTGCCCTAATTTCCAACATGTGATAGTGTTGATAATATCATGATTACAAGGTCGACCAAACGGAAACACAGCCAATATTAATTTCCTACTTAGAATTTATTTAATTTACCTGCTTGTTCAATTTCGGGCATTTTTTAGCCTCTTTTATTAGCGAGTAGATTTATTACGATAAACTAATATTTCGTCAAAGATATTTTCCTTCTTTTCTAAAATTTGCTTCAGTCTTCTAGTGAAATACGTTTTTTAGCGCGATTCACCATGGTTAGACTCTATACCAGCCTTGGATTCAGTGAGGCACGTGTTATATGAGCCGCTGCGGCATTATATTTTGGCCCTGTATGTTCGTCTAGCACATCACTGAATATTTGGAAAAGTTTCTGCTTTGTGTTAATTGTCGAATTATTCGGACTGGATTTCATTTTTTCATAACCGTCATTTAATATTTAACTTATTTTTCTTTTAAGGTAGCAAAAATATATAGGCTGACGATTGGCATGTGATATTACGGAGAAATTTTGTTCATGTTTTGAAGGGTTTTTTCAAGATGGAACTTTGTGTTGTGTCTCTGTGATAAGTTGATGACAAAGAGGGATTTCTCACTTGTTTGAAAAATTTACACATTTCTCTTTTTCATTTTTCCTGAAATATTTTTGCTGAGATTTTCATTCTGTTTTCATCACTATAATTTTCGTCGTTAATTTTGCTTGTTGTTAAGTCTCTGGGTTAATTTTTGAGACCAATCCGACATAGGCAACCTTTTTCAAAGTCACTCACAGTGAATATGCAAAACTTTTGATATTAGTTTTCATTTTACTTAGCATAAGTTTTCTTTTGTGAGAACATCTTTTGAGCAGTCCTTCTGTCTTTTGGTCCAAAGTGACTTTCTAATGTATTGCAATATTTTCCGCAGAAATGTTCTTTCGCTATTCTTTCAACTACTTCATGCCATTAATGATAGTTGATGATGGGAAGTTAAGAATTTATCTTGTTACAGTTAAGATTTTTCAATTTTTTCATTCTTTATGTAGAACTTGTAGTGCAGTTGTTCATAAGTGCTGGTTTCGTTGCAGCTATCGTAATACATAAATTATCAATAAATATTGATTTATTATGTGCATAAACGTTGGTAAACTTATGTGAATACTGAAATTTTTTGTTCTATTATTTTCAAGAAAGCGGTAACTTTATTAATCATAAAACAGTCTAAAAGTTCATGTGGATGAAATATAATGCTAAGATTGAAAGGATTGCAGAAGGAACAGTCGATATACCATAATGATAGTTTATTATAGAAAATTGAGAGCATGAAAATTTTGCTTCTTGAAGAGCACATATATATTTGAAGATATTTTACGAAAATTGTAATGATTAAAATATTTCTTTATATTGGCAGTAAGAAATTCCATACTTCTCCTCGCTATAAAAACACATTAAGATCTCCTAAGTGGATTCCTGAAGCTAATTAGACTCGGAATGCTAGCTATAAATAAAATAAATGGAAGGTGGTTTATCATTATGAATTCGCCGTATACCTTTTATTTTTTCGAACTTGTTAACCACTGTTTTTTTTAAAGCAGACATACTGACAGGAGGATTGGCGGAAACGAAAAAAACAAGTGGGATATACATTTAAGGGAAGAAATTATCAATATGATTAATACACCGCTAGCAACATCTATCGGAAGTATAAAATCTAAGAATTCAAGTGTTGTCAGGACTGTCAATCCTGAACAGTAACTAATTACCATGAGATCATTATGTAATGCTGCATATTAGAATAAATGGCTAATGCAAATGATTTGTTCGATTCTATCAAAATTCCTTCATTGAAAGTCAAAATTACTCACATTAATTACATGCAAACATCGCCGCGAATATTTCTTTTTCATTTCAATGCTTTCATTACTTTACGTAGCATTAAATCTGTTGTACACCACTAAATTTCACTTTTTCTTTTTTTAATTAATTAAGATGGAAAAGAAAAGGAACTGATATTAGCAAATGATTAAGATAGAAAAAATAATGTTAGTAGATAATGAAAATGTGAGAAGTGATATTGGAAAAATACAGATTTGTTTCAATAATTATTGATGACATATTATGTTGTGAAGTGCAAAGGCTGTCCCTCAGTTATTTAAGATGTAATTTTATAGGAAAGACCTTTTTTCGGATCACCATGACAACACACTATTTTCTACATATAAATTAGAAAAGAGCTTGGATAAGTAGACATCAGTAGGCCTTTCATATCCATCATTTTTCATTTCCTTAGCACTTTTTTGTCATTGTGATATTTAGCAAAACTTCTCACACATATCTTATTTTTTCTTATAAATTTTGTCACTTTTTTTCTTTGAATTAGTACTATTTTAAATTACTTGATAATTGGATGATATAGAACGGAGGGAAGATGTTCAATGTTTCATTTTAATGAAACTCAAATTTCACCCAAAAAACATAAATTTTTTAAATTTCAGAGTTATCTCTGTATAACATGAAATTTGGTTGATCTTCAATTCAGTCACGTATGTTCATCCTGGAAGAAATTTGACAAATTACAACAATTCTGGTTTACAGCAGATATTTGTGATATTCGGATAATAATAACTATGAAGAATTGTTTATCATTTTCTCGCCTCAATTTTGCGGTAATTCGGAAATTGTCCCACAATCGAGATGTTCAGTTACAACGCCGACGTCATAATGGCTGGACTTGGCCTCCATCACTTTTACAAATACTTTTTTGGATAACAGTACCTATATTTGCTTCAAGTACAGCATTTTTACTCATACCTTTGCATATATTATATGCTCCTCTTGCCGTATTCACTGGGACAATATGGCTTATATTACAAATGATCGTATTGACATGCATTGATCCAGCAGTAAGTAATTTACGCAAAGATCAAGCACCAGCATATTTCGATACAACCAAGCACGAGCATGTTATTGAAAATCTCTTCTGCAATATTTGCCTAATTAATGTGTTAGTAACTTTTTATTTCTTCATGAAATTAAAATACACTTTTTATTTTTTGAAAATCATTCGCAAGAAATAATACTATGGTATGGAATGAATCAGCAAACTTTGAAATGATTGTTAAAATGTTTCTTCTATTAGTATGCTATTTATTAATTTATATGCTATAATGCGCCATAAAGTGTTATGTTAATTAAACGCAATCATGTATACGCTTATATAAATGAATTTTATACTTGAAATCTATTTCATAAATTAAATTAACGCGAGCAAAATTGAGATATTTGTTTAGTTTCTCATCACTTTGTCATTTAGCATGAGTTAATTATTCATTTACAGAGATCCAAATTGTAAACATTGTCGTCAGTGTAATAAATGCATATCCGGGTTCGATCACCATTGCAAATGGCTTAATAATTGCATCGGTTCGGTAAATTACAGGTTAGTTCCTTCAAAAAAAAGTAATAAATTTACAAGATTTATTTTTTTCTAAAGAAAACAAACGAAAGAAAAAGTGGAGATGATGGATAATTTTTGTTGACACTCTTTAATTCACTATATAAATATTCTTCTATTTCTGATTTAGTCGTATTTTCTGAATTAATGAAAAAATGTCTGGTAAAAAATTGTTGAAATTTTTAATTTGTTTGGAATCCTAAATGCATTACTTCCTGAAAATGATACCAATAATAAAAATAAATCTTTTTAATCTATCAGTAATATAAACTATTTCTGCAAGTATTATTACTGTTTTTAGATTATTTTTATTATTAGTGTTATCGGTATGTTTTATATCAGCTCTCATATCGATTTGTCTGATTGTACTTGCTGTGATATCATTTATTAATATTGGATTACTTCCAAATGCAGGTAAAATATTTTGCTTTCTTCAAAAATTTATCAACACTTTTTTAAATGAAATATGAATGTTCTGGCAAATCAAATGATAGAAAAGAATTGGAAGTAGAAAGTTAAAAAATACGGGAATATTTTTGATATTTGGTATTTTACAAAGAAAAAAAAGAAAAGGTAAAAGAAGAATAAAAAAATTGTATTTCAGACAAACTGCCAATAAAACTGATGTTATGGCAAGGTCTGTGCGTTGGCGTTGCTGTCACATACTCGATTGTTGCAATTTTGTGCGCACATTTACTCTATTTCCATTACAAATTATGTCAGTGCTAATGGAAATAAGTTTTTAAAATTGCTATTGTAGTAAAAAAAAAATAAGTTTTTAAAAAAAAACTGATAAATAATTGTGGTTTATTTTATTCCGAAAAACACTTTCATCGCAAGTTTAAAATATATTTTTTGCAAATGGTTTGGGAAGTTATCAATGAGAGGAATTCATAGATTATATCTACTTTTTATGGTAAAATTAATTTATTTCAGGGCAGCGTGGCATGACAACCTATTATTTCATACGGATTAATAGAGAATGCAAGGTATGTTTATACATAAATAAAATAGAAATTATATTTGAAAATTTTTGGAGAAAAAAAAAATGCCGTCTGTTTTTATCAGCGCTCTGTATTGTGGAGTGTTGATATGTTTCAGAAAAGAATTTCGTTGCTGTTCAAATGCGCTTTTAGCGTATTTAAACTGATATTTGTGATAGCTTGCAGTTACTTTTTTGCATAAGAGAATAGTTTATCTACAAAATAATATTTATTGTATCCAAATTTGTTATTCTTCCATTTTGGATGTTGTGAATAGAAAATTTTTGAATATAATTTGTTGGGATAAATATAATAGAACATAAATTGTTAAATTAAAATATGTTTTATTTCGTATCTGCAAAAATATCTGCTTTTATTTGCATTATGGAGAAAAATAATCTAAAAATATAGAATATATAGATGTTTTTGCATCTAAAATTGAAAATTCTCTTAATTTGTGTAAAGTTTCGTGTAATTTTATTAAGAATAATCAGAAGCAGCAACAACGAAAACAACAGCAGCAGCAGCAGCAGGAGCAACAACAGGAAGAGAAGAATTTATCAATAAATGGTGGTTTAACACCTCTCGAGAAAACCTGTTCCAAATTGAACATTATTAAATCGAGAGCTATTCGTGATTCTAACATTGATAATCCATATGTCTCTTTCACATTTCAAGAAAGTCTCGCGAATAATGAGCAGAAATGATATCAAATTGTTCAATCAATCATTTCATTTTATGCATTCTTTGAGAAATTAAATAGTATTTTGTAAGAAAAAGTTTCTGTTATGAATAGAATCGAAAATTCATGAACGAATTTTAATTTTATATTTCCAAACAGAAATGGGAAGAAATTTACGATAACTATTTTAAGTTAAATTGATTATTGTTTTTAATTTAAGCATATTAAATCTTAATGCTACAACATTTTTTTTCTCAGACTTTGTTATATTATTTATTTATTTGCAGGCATCGATGAGTTTAATATCGATATGATTTGTTTGATAAAAATGAAATTTATAAATGGTTCTTACACATTTCAAGCAAATTCTTACTAATAATGAAGTTGGTAGAGGATGATAGTTCAAGGATAATTCCAGTGACTTCATAAAATTTCTATTTTTTCCTTTTTGTTGTATTCTAGTTATTTCCTCATCCAAGCTAATATTACCATTACAAATGCGTCGAAACTGATGAGAAATGTTGATATAATAGGACAGATTCCTTCAAGCTATTGTATTTTTTACTTACTTTAAAAATTGATTTTCCATGTGAAATATAAGTGGTGGTGAAAAATGAAGGCAGCATTCTCTTTTCATTTATCATCTGTGAAGATAAGTGGAGCAAAAACATGAAATGTTGACGGCATTCAAGGATGGCAGTGGTGCTTATTAATTACAATGATAAATTAATTAGCCATTGAATTACAACGAGATGTAGTAGTGAATGTTGTGGAAGGGTATAAGAGAGTTTTTCCCGGAGAAATTTTTAAATAAATAACAGAAAGATAAGAAGAAATTTTTCTCACTGCGATGAAAAATCCTCAAAAGTCAATGTCACCGTTATTGTTCACTTTCCGATCGTCAATTGTTGGAGCAGATGTGGTCCTCGTTTCTCTCTCTCTCTCTTTCTCAAAGAGAAAAAGAGAGAGAGAGAAAGATTGTAAGGTAAAGCGATTACTTTCTAAATATCACATAGCATAAATAAATAAGATGAGTCATAATAGAGAATACGAGCTGCATGCAGTAGCGCAGTAGTGCGAGTATCGAGAATAGCATGCCAGAGGTTGTAGGAATAGAGTAGAGTAGAACAGAAAAATGAGAAATGATGTGATCCGAATTTGAGTGGGTGGAACTCCATTCCTATATCTTTCTGCCTAGCAGAGGCAGGAGGGTTCAACTCCATATCTTTCCGCCTCTTCTTCAATACTTCCTCAATCATCAGAAATCTAATCCAGCTCATTAGCGATACAATCTGTCAATCAACCTTAAATGTAATCAAATTGGTGGGTCAACAGTTTACTTCTTTTCTAGAAGTTCAAAAGTTACTGCAAACTGATATACAATGCTTGCCTTAAAGAATTGTATATTTCTGCCGTTTTTGATCGTAACCGCTCAACGAAGTCAATTTGACGTGAATTGTCCACGGTTATGTCATTGTAACAAGACTACAGTGGAATGTCACCATACAAAAATCCAAGGTAGTGAAATGTTGAATATACGTCCGGAAGCATATCCGGATTTGGATACAATCACAGTTACTGGCAATATCATTGGAGATCTGGCTGGATGGAATATTTTCGGTGTTAATGTTACTCATCGCTATGTTTCCTTAGTTAATTTATCTGACAATGCTATTACTGCCATCGATTCATATACCTTTCGTGGCTTACCTGCGGTCGAGTATTTCTACTTGCACGATAATGCAATCGAACGAATTGGTGCAGATCCTTTCCGGTCCGTTTTTTTTCTTTTTTTATCCTTAAATACCACAAAGATTTTTTTTGCCATTTAGCTTATGATATATTTCAGTCTGATGCAAATTTGTTCCAAATATTTTTCAAGAATTTTTAGAAATCTCAAAATTGCCTCTTCACAATTTATAATAATCATTCTGAATTACAAGAATATTCCTTGCAATCCTCTTCATATTGCTTGTCTAAATGAAACGAATTCATTTATTTTCTCATATTAAAAAAAATTGCTAAAAATATTATCTCAGTTAACAATACTTATCTTTCTTTAGCTTCCATTATCATATTTATCTTTTCAACTTAACCATTCTGATTGAATAAAAATTTCGATGATAAAAAAAGAGTCACAATTATTTGAAATGGAATTTAGACAGTTTAATAAACAATTTAAATGCAAATCTTTATATATCATAAAATAGAGTTGCACTCGTTGCGTAGATTGAACTTTGGAAAGTTTAGATAAAATTAGGAAAGGGAAAGAGAGAGAGAGAGAGAAAGAAAGAGCATTACGATTGTAACATTGTAGTTATTGTCCGTCATTTCGGATCATTTTTTCTTTTTTTGATGTATGCATAAAATACAACATTCTTTCTTCTTCCATTATATCTATAACGAAGAAAAAATGTTGCAATTCATTTTTTTTAAACTTCAATTTTTCACTATTCTGACAAGATAAAATTAGATTATCTTCACTATTGTGTTAGGTGAGTTTAGATAATTTTTGCTGAAATTTTTGGAATGGTGAAAAAATAAGAGTGAAGATTTGTGTACATTGCTATCCATAAAGAATCATTGTTAAAGTTAGTGAAAAATTTTAATAATTATTCTGCTTAATTCTTATGTAAGCATATAACTATCTAGCAAATGGATTTATGCGCGATTTTAAAAGTATTGTGTTTTAATATTTAAGTCCAAGTGCTTATTTCCGTTTTACTAATCAATATTAAGTTTAAATTTGTTTTACTATTTCTATGATGTTAATTTATTGCATACAAAATCAATAGGGAGTTGAAAATGAATATGATTTTCTATTTACACTTGGAACGATTACACATTTGACGATCTAATAACGCTTTCAATATAGCTTGACTTGTGAAAGTAAAATTAAGGCCATATATTTATTTTCTCGTAAGCCTAATTTATATTATTTGGAAAGTTTTTCTTCATGCATTTATATATTTCATATTTGTTCATAGCTTTGAAATTTCATTTTCTATCCAAAAATTTTCAGATGGAATGTACGTTTACGAGTGTTGGATATATCGAAATTTTTCTCATCATCAATATTACTTAATGAACGACCACACTTGCTGGCTAATATATTTGCTGGCTCTGTAAATGAATTCAATGATTTACAGGAACTAATTGTACGTAATAATGCTCTGACTGAAATATTACCTGATACATTCTGCAAGGTAATTTTAAATGCTAAAGCAAAATGCGCAAATAAAAGTTCTAATTTCAGTAATTACAGTTTTTTTCTCGATTTATATTTATTATATAAGCTATTTACTTGTTAACAATGTTAAGTTGGATCATAAATTTTGGTGGAAATAAATCTTGGTATGTTTATGTGTAATATAAGATATATTGAAATATGAAGAAAATCAATTTCAGTTGAATGGCTTGATTCGATTACATTTATCTGGTAATAAAATGAAAAAATTCAATGTTAAATCAGATTGCTTACAAAACCTTATCGTGTTGGATCTCTCCGGAAATGAACTATCAACATTATCCATTCATCTCTGGAAGATTCTTCCTAGTTTGACAACGGTCGATATTTCTTCAAACCCTCTGAACTGTAATTGCGATATTATGCCAGCAATTAAAGAACTATCAAGAAGTGCTACATCTTCCATTAATCAGGTAAAATTATTTATAAATTGATTTTATGAAGTAAATTTGATAAATTTAAATTTTTTTTTGAGATTCCTCATTTCACTCAGCCCTGTACTGTATTTTATAAATTGTCTTAATAACATTGAAGTTACTGAATCGTTTACTTGGCTCACTTTGCACATTTATCATACATCTGTATTGGTCAGATTTGTAGGGTTATGCGATCTGTGCTACGCCAGAATCACATAAAGGTCAAAATATCTTCCAAATTTCGGATTTTGAATGCAAAACGAATCATCGATTTATATATTGGGTTTCATTTGTTTTATTACTCTTTACAGCTATGATTTTTTGTCGTATTTATCGTAATCGTATCAAATTTCGGAATTTACCACTTATTGCTGGTTACAGTAAGCTTGGAGAAGAGAATGAACAATTTGCTAGTAGTCCACAGTTTGTGTAAATTGAATTACAATTGAGATTTAAAATCAGGCATTTCATTTATTTCGCAAATATAGTGAGAATTATGCATGCTTTTTTCGCCATCTATAATTTTTGATATTTTAGACTGAATTATCTTAAGCAAATTTTTTATCTTTACAAATAATATATTTATGTAGGCTGTACTGACTTGGGGAAGTGAATTTTAGGAAGGAATCTTAAATAAATTCCTCAGTAGGCAATCTATTATTGAATTTATTTTTACTTATCCTCATAATATTCTTATCCCACTTATTTAAATTCTTTCAGCTACTTTGTTGACAACTTTTCTCAAATTTACGATTGTTTTTTTTTTTCAATCGCTTCTATCAGTCATTATTTTGCTTATTTTTATTTTCTTAATTTCTACTTCATTTGTTTTACTTTAGCAGCTTACAGTGGTGCATTATACAGTTTCTTATTTCTTATACCTTTATTTTCAATAATTTGAAAATTTGTGAAATTTTTTTAAAGTTTCAATTTTTTTTTATCCTGAATCTATATTGTAAAAATATCGTTACAGTATGAGTTAGGAATGAAGCAGAAATTATCTCATTGTTTGCCAATTAACTTTCGTTAATTTTATGATTGTTAGAATAGTTACACTTCAAATAATAATCCATGTGACCTTTGAGAGAGTTGAAAAAAGAAAAGGACATATTTTAATGATTTGCTTTGGGAATAAATTGTGATTATATCTATTGGTGCTATGTTTTTATTGCACATTTCACAACATTTTTATTATTCTCGTGTGATAACCAGTAAATACTACCAAATTAAGTTCAGTGAGAACATTAAAATTGTGGAAGTTTTTGCATGAGTTCATGAGTTTCAATTTTGTGTTTCTGAAAAAAGGAAATTTAGGTTTTTTTAAAAAAAGGAAAAACTTATTTATCACATTAAGTTGTCGAAGGATAAGCAAGCGGAAGGAAGTGTGGAATGCGGAAAAATTATTGCATTACTCAGGCTTCAAATAATATAATCAAATTGGCGATCTCTAATCAAAGTAATTTGCAGCGCTTTCTTTTGACTACAAATAATTGCCAACATTTTCCGTGTTGTGAGAGCCGGAACAACTGGTTTCGAAAGCTTTCCTGACTGTGTCAGAGCCGGAATAACTGGTTTTGAAAGCCTCCCTGCCTGATGAGCATGCAATGTAACAGGAAAACATTACATTGCATGCTTACCGTGCAATCACCTTTCAAGTATGAATTCAATTTTTATAAGTTCATTTGGCACTTTTAAAATTGATTTATTTACTCCTTTTTTAAAAGTTAGTATAAGCATTTCATGCTGTAATAATAGAATGCATTCTGTAGTGAGAGAAAAGTTTCTGTAATAGTTTTCTTTGCAATGAATGTGTTTATTTTCTCCCAAACTGATTGTATTTCTCAATTTCAAAGTTTTTGATGAGGTCAAAATTGAAAATGAAATTCAATTTTTTTTCCATCCGTAAGAAAAATTTATATTTTATTTCAGCATGATAATCATATTTGATTAAAAACTTTATTTTTATCTAAATTCAAATTCTTGAATTATTTAATACTAATGAATTAAAGCTGTAAAAATTTAATAATTCTTCCTTTATTTTAAAATTTGAAAAAAATAAAAACTCGCTAAAAATGATTATTTATCTGATCGATTTATTGCATACTTGGGATGCATATCATTGATTAAATCAAAATTTATCTGAAAATTAATTGGGACTGTAACTTTGTAAATTATATTTGTAATGATCGGTCTTATTCCAATGATTTTTCACACTGAAATTTTTAAAATGCAGCTCAAATAGCTGTTGAATTAATAAAATGATTTATTTAAGTGATAATTGCTGATAGCTTCGTGGGATTTCTGATATGACTATATCTGACGTATGTTAATGCCACTTACATTTTAATTATTCAGCATTAATGATTCGAAAGTGATGCAAACATGTTTCAAAAAAAAATCGGAACATAGTTCAATAAAGCTTTAAATATTTGAGCAAAGAATTGAATGATTTTTGGGCATTTTTTTGTGCAAAATTTTCAAAGGAAAAAGCTACGTCTGCTCCATTTTATCATTTCTTCTGTTCTCAAGCAATTCCGGGCAATGAGGACCAAAAAAGATTGGCGAGCGAAAGGATCCATAAAAACTTATCTGCAATGAAAGATAATAACTTATATGTTTCATTGCCTTCGCTTCCACAATTCTCCTTGCTTTTTTTATAGTCTGATCGGAATATAAGAAGTCTCCGGCAGGTGCACTATTTTCTATGCAGTTTGATGTGATTGTTTATTAAAATTTTATTGATTGACAATAACTTTTTCTATGAGGAGAAATTGAATAACATTTTCAAAATCTTCCAAGTGGAATGGCGCATTTTGTACGACGTTGTGGATACAGTTGCATATATTGAATTGAGTAGCGTTGATAAATAATTCTTGCTCTTCCAGTATTTTTGAATTCCATGTTTGAATTGTATTGAATTTTGTAGATTTCCAAAGTTTGTACGTTAAAATAAGGGTTACATTTCATGAAATAGTTTTATATTTTTAAATTCTATATGTAGGAAAATGCAATGCAAGATATATAAAATGCAAGATATATTCATTAATTTGAAAGTTTTGAAAAATTTGTGTTGAGATGAAAATTACAAAAGTGAAGGAGAATTTTCATTATTTTTTGTAAAGTTAAAACTAAAATAGCGGAAGTGAAAATAGGAAAAGCATTATTCGTTCTCCCCAAACATCAAACATTATCATCATTTTTCTCTGATAGGAAGCAAAATATTCCTCCTTTCCTTCTCCTTCCCATTCATCTTACCTTGTTGATATAGTGATATTGTGTTGGCATGATGAGTTGGCAGAAAAGAGGAATGGATGAATAGAACTGTTTGTGATTCATGAATTTTTATGCATTTTAAAGCTTTTGAAAACGTTTCGCTAAATGGTTTTCAATTCGCATTTTAAATTCCTCTCTTTCAATGTCATCAAAAGTTATGGACAATGGTTTGGATAGAATAAATAAATTTAAACGATAAATTATCATCATCCAGACAACACTGCTTGCAACTATTTGTCGTATCACTTCATTCAATGATTGAAATTGGTACTATAAAAATGTAAGAAGTATTAGTAAGTTATAATTTTTCAGTTTGTGTTATTTTACATTTGTATTATTTCATTTTATTTTTTTGAATGACGTTAAATTAGGAATCATTCATCCTCCATAGTCAATTTCTTCAAAAATTATTGCGAAAAATTTATTTCTTCATTGTTTGCAGCAAAAGTTCACTGCAATACGTAGCAGAGTGCGGGCCGAGAGTGTACAATTCATCTAAGATATTTTCTTAATTCTGTCAGTTAAACTTAAATTTTTTGCATAAAATTCTGGAAAACTTATAAAGGGAATCATAAAATGATAGCAATGATGATTTTATGAATGGATAAGGATAGAAAACTTTGGGTCTATAAGACAACCTTGTCTAGCACTCATGGCACTTTCGTTCTCTTCTTCACTCATATTATAAAAAAGAAAAAATCCATTGAGATTAAAATAAAGAGTTTGAAAAGGGATAAGGAAGAGAATGAAAAAACTGAAAGGAGGGAGGAATGAGGGAGAGGAAGGAAAGCGAAAAGGTTAGGCGAAGATGACATTTTACTTCTGCGATGCTCCTTCCCTCTCTCAATCTCTTCAAAACCCATCAACTTTCTCAATTACTCTGTACAACATAAAAAAGCCGTTTTTTCGACCTCAATTCGTTTACTTACATTTTCAACATACCAATCAGGAGGATTTGTGTTCTCCTATTAACTTACCTATGAAATGAAAAATATTTCATTTACATTTTCGTAACGCTTCTTACCTGAATCTTTTAGACTAACTAAATGTGTTATCTTCTCAATAATTATTTAACCTGAAACTAACTATAAAATAAGTGACGTGATGCGAACATTTTACGTCACGATGAGAATACAGTTCCCTAAACCTCTCGTAAAGGTCAAAAGTTGCGCTTTCATGGTGTGAAATCTGTCAATTTGCGCTTATCAATTCATTCCTCAACATTTTTGTATCGCTATGTAATAAGTTGAAAGCTATTCTGTTTTTTTTATTCTGTACAATTCAGTTCCATTAATACGAAAACGAATGTATAGGAAGGAATGCGCTAAATGTTCGTATACATCCGGACAAAATCTGAATTTGGCTTTTCCGGTAATATTCAATGTTGGTGTGCTGCATTATCGCAGGCTGCGTAAATCCTTTCTTGACCACGTTACACTTCAGCTATTGATCGTCAGTTTGCATTTTATGATTGTAGGTTCGGCTATGAAAAAATCGCACAGTTGCACACATGTAAGCACGTAAGTTGCGTCATCTATGCACCTCTCGTACTTTTCGCTTTTATACTAATTACAACAGCACATTTGCGCCAAACGCTCTCCTCTCTATGTATGCCACGTGCATGTATGTACGTTGTGTATGTGTGTGTGTGTATGCGTGTGTACGTGTGTGTGTATGCGTGTGTACGTGTGTGTGTGTATGTATGTGTGTGTGCGTGTGTGTGCATGTGTGAGTGTGTGTGTGTGTGTGTGTGTGTGTTTATGTTATAGTGTCTGTGTTTATTGCCGGACAATTTGGATCGTTGGATTCGACATTTCCTTGTGTTGATGTTCGTGACCGTACACGCCTTTGCGAGATATTGGATAAAGCTGGAGAAAGAGGGATGGAGAGTGGGATGTGATGACTGAAGGAGAAGGGGAAGAGAAAGAGACAGCATTTCATGGGAGGGAGTTGGCAACTGTAGCTCTGTCCAAAGGTTTGGCGCTATCGTCATCAGGGAGGGGGAGCGTTCGAATTTATAAGGGACGGATGGTTCCTCGGATAGCATCCTCTCTGTTGATGTTAGTTTTTTTGTGACAGAAGAACCTATCTGTTATGGTATATTCCCAGGTTGAAAACTTAAGTTAGAAAATCCAAATTTCATATTGCTTTTGCATCTCATTGATTTCATGAAATCTATTCTCTGTTTAAATTTCAATACGCTATTTTCTCTTTCGTGTTATCATTAATTACACTTTCATATCTTATAGATTAAGCTTAATTTTCTTGTTTGATGAAGAAATACGATTGGAATGGGTCGCATTCCAATCTCTTCTTCACCTGTTTTAATGACATATCATTGTCGTCGTACCTTGCATGAGTGTCGTTGCGCAATAAATTGATTGAAATACTTTGTGTCATGTCCTATCCTACTCTTCCCAACCCTTTACCATCCGTTTGATTTGATAGGACCACAAGATGTACTACTATATTATCATACTTTCATCATTCTTGTTACATGCATGTAAATATTGAAATGAAATATCTATTACAAAATACAGGCCCAGTATGCGTTATGATTAGTTCAAAGGTTACATTTATATATTTGAGAAAAAAAATAAAAAAATTAGTCGACTGTTAATGGATTTCGTATTCGGATAAACGTACATCAATTTTTTCATTATTGTTATCACGCTTGTTTGAAATTAAATTCTTGATGTTGGAGGATATATCCATTTATTTCAACAGAGTAAATGATTAATAAGAATCGAAGAATGATTTTCTCATTTAATAAGAATAAATGGCAGAAGGACTGATTTGAATTTTTAAAAGAAGCTCAGTTGTGTATGGTGAATAAAAGATTGAACTTTTTATAAACAATTGATAATGGGGCGGAAAAGACATGGCACACTGATCGCATTGATTCATCATCGATGATGGCTCACTTCTAGAAAGAAAAAAATTTTTTGTCAATCAGTTTCTCATTTTATGTACATCATTTTTTGTTTATTTGATTTGAGGATTTGATTGGCTGAGAATTTTTGATATTAATTATATTGAATTATATTAAATTGCTTTTTTTATTGTTGCATTGAAAAATATCAAAAAATGCTAAAATAAATTTGTTGACAATTTTCGTATAAATTGAACTTCTCAAAGGCTTAAGATTTCTGTTAAAATGATTTTGTTGGCTGATTCATGTAAGATATCGAAAATTCTCTAATAATCTTTATTTAAAATTTCTAAATCTTCTTTATAATTTCCCTACTGTTCCAGAAAGTTTTGTTTGCGGCAACTTCATCAGCTATATTTGTTAAAAATGAAATTTGAATTTATGATGTAATGCCTAGCGAATTTTTCTCTTTGAATTACATATAAAAAAATTTACTGCAAGATTTCAATCAAATATTGAGTGGAAGAAAGGAGTGACCATTGTAAGAAGAATACAGTAATGTCTTATCAGTAATAAAAATATAATTATCAGTGTGGAAGAATCATTCCAATACATTAACCTCCTTTTAAAGTAAGATAACACCAATCGATGCTCCATGGCTATCTTCGCTTTTGCTTTTCTCATGTTATTTGCAGAAATTTTTCATTTCTCTCTCTCTCTCTTTCCCTCTTCGTAGCTGCTGAATCAACGTAGTATATTGTCGCTTATCAGGAACTTTTTATCTAATAGATAAGTCCGATGTGTGTATTATACATTCTTTGGTAAAAGCAGTTCCTCGGTTCATTCAAAAACAAAACTTGAAACATAGTTTTTCTGAATTAGTTTCTGTAGTAAAAGGGAAAGAACAAAATAGAGTTGTATTCAAATATGCGACAGGCATAACTAATTATTGATGTTAATTTGCAGAGAAAAATCAAAAATTTCTCCATTTTTCGGGCAGTTGCTAGAAATATTATTTTGAAATGATAATTCATAAATAATATCAATTGAGTGAATCAGTAACGTCGAATAAATGGGATTATGTTAATTCCTGATAATAATGATTATATCAAAGAAGGTTAAACGGTACTGTCTGTATTATTAGTCAAAAAATTTAGCCATATTTGATTTATAAAATTCAAAAAAAGATGAATAAAATTCATTTCTCCTCCACTTCCAGTAATTAGATTTCATTTTCATGTTTGATTGTAGAGATGACGAGCTACTGTATCCGTAGTAGACTTGAGCACATTTTATGAATTTATGATTGAATATTTAGTGAGATAGTTATTATTATAAAAGGTTGGTTCATCGCTTTTTGTCTTCTCTTTTGGGATTCGTGTAGATCATATTCTGTCGTTAATCTTTCTTCTTATTTGACCATTCTGATTTATCTATCCATTCCGCCTTTATTTAAAAATTAATTATTAACTTTTGTTCACTTTCCGACCATTTCTTTCCGTTTCTTTTAAAAGAAAACTGTGCGGAGTACCGCTCAGTCTTATCCTTTCATTTCCTATTACAGTATTTATATTTTGTAAAACTTTCTTATTTCACTAATTTTTTCGTCAAATAAATGCTATCTGGATACGTATTATAATTTTTAGTCGAAATATATTAGTATCAATATATAACTTCTAACAAAAGTTTCTATTCGTGATTGATATTTGGATACTTTATCATTTTTATTAACTTAAGCTGGAGATGATTGAAGTGCAGAAGATGTATATCTGAAACTTGTCATTGTATCGGTCTTATGGGCAATATACGCTATTATCGAATTAATCCATTACAGGATATATGGCGCAGAAATATCAGCGATTTATGGATTATGATAATCAGTAAATGTTTTTGATATGCTTAGTTGTTATGGTTTTCAGTGAGTAAAATGTGGTATCATCGTAAAAATGGGGCGATTACAAGAAAAGTAACTATCATTGGAAGTGGAAGAAAATTTAATTTCAAAGTAGATAAGATGGGCTAAACATGAACAGATCTTAGATAGCCATATTGAACATCGTTGGAAGTCTTATGATTACACTATGAAATTTGTCAGATCAGAAATTTTTTTGTATTTAAACTGGAAAAAGGTAGCGTAATTTTTTTCCAGATATGGCTCACTTTTTGAATTTGGGGAATAGAGACCAGCTTTCTTAGCATAGTATAACTCAATGAAGATTTTGGAGTTAAGCTTTTTCTGATACAGCTTTAGGCACTTTCATTCTTTACACTTGATAACGAATTAGATTCATTATGTTTAGAAATACGTTGCCTTGCGAATGTTGGTCATCTGAAGATCACGGGTCAGTTTTTATTCAGTAATTAAATAAGGAATAAGTGAAGGAAGTAAAAGCTTTTCGATTTCACATTGTTGGGAGTCAAATAAAAAGTTTTAAAGTTACTTTTTTGTGTCATTTAATGCCCATTGTTTTCCAAATTTCTATGAACATTAGGATTAAAATGAATTATATGTGAGCATATATCCGTTGTCACTTTTCACGATGTTATAATCCATTTTATGCGTGCATATCCGTTGTCACTTTTCAGTTCTATTTCCTATACTTCGTTGCCGCTATTACAATTGCTTTATTCAAATAACTAGTTTTGATGGACAAAAATTTAATGGATTCCGATATTTTGTACTTTCATTAGAATCAGTAATCATTTAGAGGATTACTCCACTGTATGATTATTGTTCACTTTTTTTTAATCATGATAGATGAAGTGCAGTGTGATCAGGTAGATCCTGGATGACAAGTGATATTTGTAGTAATGTTCCTCGATTTTTGACAATCTTTTAGCTCTAATTCTATCTACTTATTGCTATTTACTGTTACGAACTTATATTGTCAGTGCATTTTGAAATGATTTTTGTGACCACCGTTATGTAGAATGGACATTAATGTAGATTTCAGTTACGTTTGTTTAATTCCATTCAGTTTTTTCTCAGTGTAATGGAATCATAAGTTTTGCTAGTTCACGAAGTCATTAATTTTCCTTCTTTCTGAAGAGGCATCATTGATTCAGTATACATTCGCCACGTTTTCAATTGCTCCTCTTCAAAATTGTATTCGTAAAATGCCCGTTTTGCAAAATGTATTATATTCTTGCAAACAGAAGGAGTTATAATTCAGAATAACTGGCTCCTGTCCGACATCACTAAATTTTGCATATTTTATAAACTGTATCCGATGCATTCCTCATTCTTGTGCTCTGATATCTTGGTGCTCTCTATACTCATTGTTTGATTTTTTTGACTTTCGTACTTTGGTCTTACAATGTTTTATAGGTTTGAATGATTTTAAAACAATTTGGTAATATTGCCGTGTAGTATTCTGATACTATGAAGATTTCATCAAATTATGGTTTAATTTTATTTCATAGATTTTAAGAGTTTTTACAGAGATTCTGATGTTTTGTCAAATGTTTTCCGTCTTGACAAAGTTGTGAAAACTGTCTTTGCAGGTTTTTTCAATGCAGTTTTTTCTTATTTTTTTTCTCAAAGTCTTTAATGCCGTTCATGTTGTTGACTTACTTGTATTGTATGATTTGGGTGAATTGTAACAAATGCCATTAGTATCGTTACTGTTCTTGTTAATTTTCATTTATTTAGGTGCTATTTCATTGTTAAAAACTTCCAAAGCATTTTAATTGCCTGTGCAGTGATGATGGGTGATGTTTCATTTTTATAGGACTTTTTACTCATGAGTTACTAATAAATACTGTATGGGAAAGATTATCTGCTGATATTCATGCGTATTACATTATAGCAAAGGGTTTTACTAATGTGAAAATGGAACTCCTAAAACAGATTCAAAACAGTGAAAATAGAGTTTGTTTCATCTGTCTGCTCTTTTTCTTTGCCAATGTTTATCTACTTCTCTGCAAATGGTGTTTGTTTTAAATTCGAATTCTCAGTTACGATTTTCTTTAAAGTGTGTCTAAATGTGTAAGCCTAGCATATATAGCGCAGAGTTACTCCGTTGACA